GCAAGATTGGATCCTCGTAGAAAAGCAACATTTGAGGCTTTGATCGCACAGCTCGATGGAGAGTACGTGTATTACTTGAACGCATCTATTTTTGCTTTTATCTAAGCAATACTAATTAAATTCAACTTATATTATAGACTTCATGTGCCAACCTACTTTCAATTAACAATGGACATAGTGGTTTGATTATTTTCTGTAGTTTACTTCATCACGTTGTTTTGGACTATAACTTTTATGTGTGTGAAAGAGTAAAAATCACTTTGAAAAATAATACCATTTGAATTCTACTGTTGGAGAGTATACAAGTCAGACCATTGTGGCAGATTTTGCATGACTAATTACTTTATTATTACTTAGACTGTGGCCTTGCATTGATGCGGCTACCCGTAGAAAGTTTTGAAGTTTTGGTTACTGAACGGTTATATCGACTAAGATTAATACAGGTTTCTTGGTAAGAATATTAAGTTATTAACGTCTAATTTTGAAGGGTTATCTTAGGCATCATAGGTTGCTCCCCAATAACAATCAGTTTGTGTTTTCTGTGACATAATGTTTATCTTTTTTTAACGTCTAGTGTATTATGACAGGTGCTACATGTGAACTTTGCATTTTTCCTTATATAATGAATTTTAATGTTCAGTATTTGGTCATGTCTAGGAAGGAAAAAATTGGTGTTGATCGGTTCTCTCTCAGACAAGCTGTGATATTCATCTGCGCTACCAATAGGCCAGATGAACTAGACCCTGAATTTGTTCGACCTGGGCGTATTGACCGTCGACTGTATGTTGGTTTGCCTGATGCTAAGCAACGAGTACAAATTTTTGGTGTGCACAGTGCAGGAAAGCAACTTGCAGAAGATGTAGACTTTGGGAAAGTAAGTGGTTGATGTTTCTTGTTTTGCATTATTCCTTCAAAGTCATGCTCAAGAAGTTGAATTTTCTGCAATTAATCATGGTATTTGACATTATTTAAAGCTAACCATTCAACAATGAGCATATGAATTGGTTCCTCTCTCTCTCCCCCGTCCTCCTCTCTGTCATTATCTTCTTTATTGTTGTACGACTGTTCTTGTTCATTGATTTTCACCAATATGAATGGTGGAAAACACTCTTGACATTTGAACCATGGGCGACTGTTGAAATTTACACATACGGTTATTCCCAAAGAAACACAATGTTTGATCACCTCTATGCATATTTTCTTTTATACTTCCGTGAGTTGGTTAAGTAGGAGATATATGGTTCTTTTTCAGATATCTTGCAGATATATTGCTTGTTTTGTCCATTGGTTCTCTATGCTGTGGTACTTTATTTTGGTAATTGGTGCTTACTTTATTGTTCTTCATATTATTTGAGAAAATGTATTTGGCTTTTGGCTGCATATTGCCTCTTACACTCTAAAGATTCATATATATTATGTTAAGTGTCTTGTATCCAGTGATGATTTCGTCTCTAGGTTTGGTTCTTTTTATTTTGGTAATTGGTGCTTACCTTTTGCTGTTTATATAGTAGGGATGAAAATCTAACTTGGTTTTATGCTACTGTTTGCCTCCTCTTTCTTCCACTTCAGCTTGTCTTCCGTACTGTTGGTTTTTCTGGGGCAGATATTCGGAACCTTGTCAATGAAGCAGCAATTATGTCAGTAAGTAAAACTTACAAACATACAAAGTTGCATAATAAGCTTTATGTTTGTATGACTTTTCTCTTGAAATAGGATCCTTAAGTAAATATGGATGCTTTGGCTCTTGGATAATATGCTTCCTTATTCAAGTTTCGGTAGTAACTATGGTGACGTTACTGTTCTTGGTGAACAGTTAAATTAGGTGAAGGGTTTGTTTGCTATTTACTGGGATCTCAGTTAAAAAATATATAACTGATGTTTCACATGATATGTAACTTTCAACTACCTTTAATTTTTTATCTTGAAAAGAAAGTGTCTCATGCATTTTTTGCAATCTAGTGTTGCTGAACAGTTCTCTCAAGTTTCTTTGCATGTTGTTTTCTACCCTTCATTTTTCAGGTGAGGAAAGGGCGTTCAAAGATCTTCCAGCAAGACATTGTTGATGTATTAGATAAACAATTGCTTGAGGGTATGGGTGTACTCCTTACTGAAGAAGAGCAGCAGAAATGCGAACAAAGTGTATGTCCATGTTGATTGTTCTTTGGTGTTTCTTTTGGAGTGACAAATGTTATATAATACTTAATTTAGTCATTTTGAGTTGTATATAATTACATCATAGGTGTCTTTGGAAAAGAAGAAACTGCTGGCTGTTCATGAAGCTGGTCACATAGTTTTAGCTCATCTGTTTCCTCAATTTGATTGGCATGCATTTTCTCAGCTTCTGCCAGGTGGTAAGGTACAAATTCTGGTGATAAAAACAATCATTAGTGGATGCTATTGAAATTCTGTGGGAGTTGCTCTCTGATGAAGCTCATTTGTAATATGAACAGGAAACTGCAATATCTGTGTTCTTCCCCCGAGAAGATATGGTAGACCAAGGTTATACAACCTTTGGCTACATGATGATGCAAATGGTGGTAGCTCATGGTGGGCGTTGTGCTGAGCGTGTCACGTTTGGTGATGACATAACTGATGGAGGAAGGGATGATTTGGAAAAGATAACAAAGGTAACCACAGTTCCTTTCATATACATAAAAATTTACAGAATTTCTTCACTGGAAGAAAAATAAAAGAAAGTACAATTAGCTCAAAGTTGTACGAATAAATTGCCCATTTAGCAATATACTTATTTGCTTTAAAGTTTATGTGATCTAAGGTGTTTTCATTTATTTTAGGCAATGAAAGTGTGTTTAGCTCATTTCCTTTTTATCTCTCTCCTTCTTCATATCAGGCAAATTTATTGATACAGACAACCATGGTTTTTAGGGGGGGCTTAAATTTGAAGAATTTGGATGTTAAACATATTTAATAATAGGCAATATGCATGTAAGTAATCCCCTTTGCAGAAGTACTGTGAAACACAGTCTCTCTTTCTGTGTTGTAATCTCTGTGATGAACATTCCTTGTTTAAATGCACAGTGCATTTTAATCTCATAGGAAA